AAGATTTTAATGAAAAGGAACTTTAATACATGAGTATACAATATGAAAGACAAAGAATATAACTTCTAAATCAAACACCTGAAGTTACCCATCCCCTCGTGGGCAAAAGTCAACCCAAAAGGGATTGGGCCAAAGCAAGGCCAGAAAGCCTGCCACAAGACTAAAGCACCTTCTGGCCGGGACCCATGGAAAAGGGTCAGAAATGGCCAGACAAATCTGGGAGGAAAAGAGCACAATCAAAATCAATATAAACACTGCCATAGTCACCTCCCCACAGGTATCTCACCCACATCTGCCTTAACCAGTCCAAGGTCAAGAAACAAACATGGTTTCTTCATCACATGCTTGCTGCTCCATGTGGCTTCCTCAGGTCTCCTTCTGGCTCTCCACGCTGCTCCTTCTTCCTCAGATTCCTTCTCCTCTCTCTTTTTTTTTTCTCTGCTCTGCTCCACCCTACTTCTGAGTGGGGCAGGGAACCTGGAACTTCCCCTTTTCCTAGGAACCACCCAGTTACAGTTCCATATAAGTTTTAGAATTTTTTTGTTCTGTTTCTTTAAATTATTGGAATTTTGGTAGGGATTTCACTAAATCTGTATTTTGTTTTGGGTCATTTTGACTATATTATTTCTTTCCATATATTAACATGGAACACCCTTTGCATCTGTTTGTATTTTACTCTGTACCTTTTAACAGTGTCTTATAGTTTCCACAATATATTCCTTTGCCTGTGTTGTCAAATTTATTCCTAGATATTCTTTTTAATGCAATTATAAGTAGGATTTTCCTATTTTTTTCTTCTCACTCATTTGCATATAGGAGTTAACAGATTCTTGTGTCTTAAACTTGTACCTCCCACTTTACTTACTGTATTTATCTTTTCTAATTTTTTTGTGGTATCTTTATAGTTTTATACGATGGGGTCTTTCTCACATTGGTTCAACAGTCAAATACATTTTAGACAGATTAATAGGAGAAAATGAACAAATTAAACTATATGTGGATACAGAATCTACATAGCTATAAATCCTAAGAGTAAACAAGGCTAGTCAACAGTTTTTATCTTGAATTAGGGATGGAATAGGGGCTTATAGGAGAGAACAGAGTGACTTATGTGACAAAATCAGATCCTCTGATAATAGATTTTTGTCCTATCAGATTAATATGTTTCTTCAATATAGAGATTATTTCTGGCAATAACCCTAAATCTGGATAATACTACTAATCTTCATGGTAAGGGCAAAAGTTTGTCTTGAAACTTGCAGGACCTTAGTTGATGTTAAGTTGAAGAAATTCATGTGCCAAGGTGACACATCTTGGAAGGCCTGTTCTGGACATCTTGAAGAGACCTAGCCTCATTAAGATTAGTAACCCGATATTGAATAAAAGTGGCTAGAGTAGGCATGCTTGTCTTGTTCCTCATCTTAGAAGAAAAGCTCTTAGGATTTCACTGTTGACTATGATGTTAACTGTATTTGACACATGTTGTCTTTATTATGCTGATTTAACATGCCTTCTATATCCAGTTTGCTGAGATGTACAACAGTCTATCTCTTAAGTTATACATTAGGACCTCCCTGGAGGTGCAAGGGGTTAAGTTGCAGCACTATCAAGCTGTCCACATCCACTGCAGGCCAGAGAGCTACCCACATGGCCAGCTGACCTCTCCTGACCTGCTCGCTGGTCCCCTCAGCTGTGTGTTTCAGTCAGTCTGCCTGTTCTGCTCCCCACTCTGTCTCTGGGGAATTCTCTCAGCCCCTACCCCACACCTCTGACCTATACCCCAGTTCTTGTATGCATAAATAAATAATCTTTTAAAAAATAAATCCACATTAAGGGAAGATAGGCACTTGAGCCTGATTGTTTCTTTAGTAGACACCAGGATACAAGTGAATTCACTCTTATATATGCAAAAGGGGATATTAATTAGGATCCTTAGGATGTTGTGGCTCATTAAGTTAAACCAAAGAGTTGAAGGCATTTACTCCAATAATAGCTACTAATAGAAAGATAGTCATGAATAATAGTTTTGAATAGCAGGATACATTTATGTGATAGTTCATACCTTCCCTTCCCTTCCCTACTCTGGTATGTAGCTGTTTTCAATTGCAAAAGATAAATCCATGCCAAGAATTCAACTGGACACAATCTAAAATAACTTTAATCCTAGTGTGTACTTCATTGTAAAGAGGCCATCCTCCCTTGGCAACCTTTCATAGCCAATCCATAGAAACCTCACATTTATGAGCTTGGGTGCTTGGAGGTAGCAGGGTTCATTTGGATTTGGGGGCAAGTGTAGTTTGAGAAACATGTGATAAAGCTGTTACTTAATACTAACAATCAAACTTAAAGTTTGGTCAAATTAATTTTAGGAGGTATGCAGAAGGGGTGAAGTATTCATTAAGATTTATACATGGCCCTCCCTGGTGGCCCAGCGGGTTAAAGCACAGCACTAAGAGGCTAAAGCCCCTTCCACATGAGTTCGATTCCCGCCTGCCCTGGAGGTGACCACATGGCGCGGCAGACCTCTCCTGACTGGCCTGCTGCTCCCCTCAGCAGTGTGCTTCGTCCATCTGCCTGTTCTGCTCCCCACTCTGTCTCTGGTGAAGCCTCTTGCTGCCCCTGAGCCTCTGGCCTGCACCCCAGTTCTGTATGCACAAATAAATAAATCTTAAAAAAAAAAAAATAAAAGATTTACACATGAGACCCTCCTTGGTGGCAGAGGGTTAAAGCACAGCACTAAGAAGTGAAAGACAGTTCAGCATGAGTTTGAACCCTGCCCGGGAGGTTACTCACATAGCTCGGCAGACCTCTTCTGACCTGTCCGCTGCTCCCCTAAGCTGTGTACTTTCTCAATCTGCCTGTTCTGTTCCCCACTCTGTCTCTGGCGAATCTTCTCACCGCCCCTGCACCTCTGGTCTATACCCCAGTTCTGTATGCATTAAATAAATACATCTGACACGTGATAAGAAAAATTGTCTTAGGGAGTTCGAATCCATCAAGGTAAATAAAATGCGCATTTTGACTAAATTCGAGGTTGAGAAGAGGACGTGAAAAATATTGTTTATGAAGTTAAGTTGTACGTGTGTTGAAACTATTTGTATTGAGTGTGTGGCATGTGGGTAATCATAGGGGTTAGCTGTTTCAAAAAACTGAGCAGTTCTCAATAAAGTGGGAGAGCGTAAGTTTTAAACACTGATTAAAGGACCTCAGTGGTTAAAGACAGCGCTATCAAGCTATGGCAGCCACTGCAGCATGATTTCAATCCCTGCTTGGGAGCTGACCCACAAGGTGCAGCAGACCTTTCCTGACCCCTCTGTTACTCCCCACAGTGTATTTTAGAACATCTGCCTGTTCTGCCCCCAACTCTGTTTCTGAGAATCCTCTCTCATATAACCCCACCCCAACCCTACACCCCAGTTCTTGGTTTTGCCTCTTTTAATATGTTATACTGATGTTTACAGCATGACTCTGAAAAGCTGTCCTTAAACTTGGATGCTACCATAAATGCGATGATGTTCCAGGGTCTGAAGTGTGTGGGGGCCATGGGACTGATATTTCTTTCCTCCCCTCCCCCTGCCCCCTCCATTGGGTGTGTGAGGCCTTTGCATTTCTTTGGCCATTTTCAATGAAAGATTCCCAGTGCCTTGGTCATTCAATAATTAAACCACTGAGAATTGTATGGAAAAAAAAGTAGGCCAGAAAGGCTGGCCCATAAGGAATGAAGTGAGAACAGATTCCCTAATTTTCATCTTTGGTCAGGCCTGTGATAAAATACCTCTTTTGTTCACTCACCCAGATAGGTGAGTGAACCACTGAACTGAATTCCAAGTAAGTGAGGTAGCAAAGAAAATTTCATTAGAATTTAGACATACACATAAATTTTGTTTCCCCCCTGATTCTGACCTACTATACTTAAAACTTTCCATCAGAGGAAAAAATAATTTTATTTCTGAAGAAAGGAAATATTTCAAATACCCCTTTAGCATGTGTTGATATTGTTCTATTGTTAAGACTTTTTTTTTTTTAAATAATGGAATGTTTTTGGTTTACCCACTGCCAAAATCTTTGCTCCACATTTGCATAGAATTGTCACTAATAAATCTTTCTTTTTGGAGTAAACAGTTGAACAGGAGCATAACTTTGGGTGACTTTGAATATCCCTGAGCTCTGTTTTCTCCCTGTGTAAATGAGTCAGTAAAGATTGAAATGAGGTCCTGTAAAGCAGCAGGCACTCTGAGTCTATTCAGGCTGCTATAACAAAACACCATAGACTGGGTGGCTTAAAAACATTTTATTTCTCACATTCTGGAAGAGTCTGGAAGTCCAAGATTAAGCCTCTGGAAGAACCCCGTCTGGTGAAGGCCTTCCTGGTTCATAAATGGCTTGTCCTCACATGGTAAATGGGTGAGGGAATTCTTTGGGGTGGGGGGGGTCAGTCTTTTTATAAGAGCACTAATACCATCCTCTAGGCTTCTACCTGCATGACCTAATCCCTTCTCTGAGGCTCCCCCACTTTTTAATACCACCATCTTTGTGAATGTTGGGGGAAACACAATAAGGAAGGTTATTCTTTGACCCTGAATTCAACTGAAATTCAAGTAGAACATTATCAATAACCACATATTTACTATATAACTTAAAAAAAAAATTCACTGCCATCCCCTCATCTGCCTCATGGAAAGAAAGCTACCCTGTTGAGTTGCTGGAAAGGAACACTATGAATAATGTCTGAAATGGGAATCTAATCTATCCTGTTTAACTTCACTTAACATGCGGAGAAAGAGGGCCTCTCTGGTGGCACAGGAGTTATTTTTAGAGCTATTACCAGCCACTATAGCGTGAGTTTGATCCCCAGCCCAGCAGCTGACCCACATAGTACAACAGACCTTTCCTGTCTTGTCTGTTGCTCCCCTCAGCAGTATATTTCAGTACATCTGCCTGTTCTGTTCCCCACTCTGTCTCTGGTGAATCTTCTCACCCCCCCACACCTCTGGCCTACACCCCAGCTCTTATATGCATAAATAAAAATGCATCTTAAAAAATACAAAACAAAACATGTAGCAAAAGAGAGGTTCTGGAATTTGTGAAACTTGCCCAGAGACAGAAAAGTACTTTTGGGCTGAGCCAAGTGTAGGACCAGCGTTCCTTTCAAGAACACAGAACTCTTTCCATTATACAAAGCACATTCTCAGCTCCATTACTTTGTTGTTGTGTTACATCTCTGAGCTAATGGAGATGGCTTTTCTCCTCCGGTCACTGGGGAATGTTTTTTATTCTCAGACCTGTGCTATAGTAGTTGGTTCTCAACTGACTCTTAAACAACCCCCCCCCACACACACAATTTAGCAGTGTGTAAGGCACACACACACTTCTGAGTTACCCTGTACAGCTACAACTGGAGACACTAAGTAGAGGGAGCATGGTCTTAGGCTTGAGAATTCTCAGGTCGTTGGCAAACTTCACTAGTGAAGAGCTACACAGGTTTACATGTTTCAAGGCACAGGAACAGTTTACTGGCTACTCTTAATAAACACTGTTTGGAGGCAGAATGGTGAGGTCAGCCATGTATCTTTTGTGGTTATATCCTTCCAAGAATGCATACTGAGACCAGTTGATTTCTCCCAGAAATTTTCCTTCTTATTATTTTTCTTTGTTGTAAGGTAATAAATAAAGGCTTTGAGTGTATGAACATCATCAAAGATAGGGATATCCTGTGAGGTAGCAAAGCAGACAATAAATCCAAACAAATCTATGGAAATAACAAATCTGAATCAGGGCTAGGGTGGGAGGTGACACAGTCTTTTCACAGAGCTGTCACATGTGATACAAGTGTCCTCAAAAGCAGGGCTGGGAAAAACCAGATGCTCAGCTGAAGAAGGAAGCCAGGGTTTTTTGCTAGGGAGCTGTTAATGTCCTTAGGATGGTCTGTGCATCAAGTGCCTTTCCCAGAATAGGCCAAGGAAGATAAGTCCAATTTTGTCTTCAAGACGTCAGTCAGCTCCTTCGCCAGCAGCTCATGGAGGGACACTCCGTCATGGGAGTATACCCAGTTTCTCCCGGTCCAGTCATACCGCTTGGGCCCACTAGGAGATAAAACAAATATGCATGAAGTCCACAGGCACAGCCTTTTTTAAAAAAAATGAACATATATATTTGAATGTAGAGAGCAACAAGCATTTAACAAATATGGATTAATATTTGATACATATTTTACTGATTTTGATGCTTGATATATAAATTTATGGTTGTTGCTATTAGATTTTTCTTAAAACTTTAAAAAATTTATATACTAGCTTATTTTTACATCATTTTGTGCTATTTTTTTTATTTCAGTTGTACTCCCCGTGGGCTTCCCATCACCAAATCACCCTGTGCCAGCACCATCGTCCAGTGCACTTCCCTCCCCCCATTGTTTTTGATCCCATTCCCCACTCCACCCCCATAAAATGTCTCTATAGCTGTTCATCATTATCATTATTTTCTTGCCTGGTCTGTTATACTCCTGCTATGAGTGAAACCATCTGGTATTTTTCTTTTTCTTTCTGGCTTATTTTCACTAAGCATGATCTTTTCCAGCTCCATCCATATTGCTGCAAAAGGCATGTGTTTATTTATTTATTTTTTTGGTTGCTGAGTAATATTCTGTTGTATAAATGCACCACATCTTTTTAATCCAGTCATCCACTTTTGGGCAGTTGGGCTGCTTCCATTTCTTTCCAATTGTAAGTAAGGCAGAATAAACATGTGGGTGCAGGTATCTTTTTGAATCAGTGTTTTTGTGTCTTTTGGGTAGATACCTAGGAGTGGGATTGCTAGGTCGTAGGGAAGCTCCATGTATAGCAGTTCAAGAAACCTCTGAACAGTTTTCCATAGTGGTTGTACTAGTTTGCATTCCCACCAGCAGTGCAGGAGAGTTCCTTTTTCTCCACATCCTCGCCAATATTTGTTGTTGCTAGTTGTTTTAAGATGCCATAAGCACAGCCTTTTAAGAAAAATACTGTTCAAAATAATAGGCTGGGGCTTCCCTGGTGGCCTAAGGGTTAAATCTCAGTGCTATTCCAAAGACTACCTGAGTTCGATCCCCAGCCAGGGAGTTGACCCACGTGGCACAGCAGACTCCTCCTTGGGGTTTACATGTTTTCAGATCTCAAGCACTGTCCCTGAATTATTCCAGAGGGTAAACTGGTAATTGTTCATACATAGAAAGACCCAAAGACAATAAGTATGTGCCTCACTACTACTCTCTAGAATTTCTCTTTTGTCAGTTTCTGGTGGCAGCATGTTTGTGAAACCTGTTTCTTCCAGTTTTAAATCCATAATAGTTAAGTCTGACAGGCTACTTCATGCACCTCAAGCTCACTCAGTAGACAGCATGCATTTCTCCCTGGAATCGATGTTTGTGTAGATGCAAGTGTAACTGGTTGTGCCATGTCTTATGAATCCAGGTGCACTCAGGGTGCCCATTAATTCCACCTCCTCTTTGCTGGTGGAGGCGGGTGGATGTACAGCTGATAACGATAGTACAAGATAAACCCTTAGGTGGAGGCAGGAGCAGAGCGCCCTTGAACCCAGGAGAAGAGCACCTGCATCTACCTGAACACTCAGGGACAGCATTTCCAAAGTACAAGACTGGGAAGGGTTGACCAGGGAAGAGGGATGCTTAGAAGTGAAGCATTTTGGGGGGCTATGAAAACATCAAGGAATTCTCTATCACCCACAAACAATGGGGTATGAACATTCCCCCAAAAGGCCTAGGACCTTTGTTTAATATGCACAAACAGCCTAACACATGCCACCTGGACCATATAAAAAGGCCTAATAACCAGGACCAAATCCAGAGAGTGCTCGTCCCTGTGGCCCCATGCTCTGACTTGCTGCCGGGATGCCAGAGAGAGCATGAGGACTCCGTGGGCCCCTCAGAGTGCAGACACTGCTACCCAGATCTCCTGTGTATCCCGTACTGTAACCTCACTGGGGTGGACAATATGATGGGAAAGGCCAAGGTATCCACAGAACCTGAAAAGTTGTAAATTAAAAAACAAAATGCAAAATATCACAAATGCAGTCCCATGAAAGGTATTTTGGACCAACTGTGGAAAATAAGAAAAAAACTTTTTTGAGGAACATAGAATTCATGACTGTAACTGCTCAGCAGATTTTCTTTGCAAATTTCCATCATGACTTACAGATCAAAAAACAAAACCAAACCAAAAACAAAGCAACAAAGCACAACTTGGAATTCCTAGGCATTCTCGTGACAGAAGTTGCATAGCTTGCGTCATAGTATATGCTTCGAAATATGCCTGGAGTAGGTCATATAGCTGGTAGGTGTGTCCAATATGACACGGACATTTTCAGTTTCCAGGAACACCACAGAGGAAATTCTTTCAGTGGAGACAATAGCTGGCTCTGGTATCTCGCCTAGTATTTAGAAAGCCTCTCATCTCCGAAGCTAATAGCTCCATTTGAGTTGATCCACCTGGTCTCTGGACAAGAAGGATGAGAAGTGCTCTCCTGCATGGCACAGAAAGGGTTGGTACGGAGGCCAAAAAGAACAGGCTAATAGGCCCACAAAGGGTAAAGGCCCCCAACTTAAATAATCTAAAATGTAAAGAGCAGTAAAATCTCCAGAAGACTGCTAGAAAGGACATGATTTCTGCAGCTGTTTTTGTTAAATTATGACTACCTAGATGAGGTTGAGATGAAGGAGGTACTGGGCTTTATTTATCTTGAGCAAAGAATTATATCTCATAGCAAGATAAACAGTGCACTCTTAACTGCCTAAAAATGAGAGCAATGTTGGGGCAGGAGTTTTTTTTTTTTTTGAGTCTGGTTATATTCAGGCTATTCCCAAGTCACAGTCAATATGTTCTCTTTAGAAGTGCTAATGAATGACCAGGAAGGCTGGTCTGAAAGCTTTTGGTGGATGATTCTCTTTTACTTTCTAACAATCACTTAAACAGCAGCCAGAAGCTCTTTGCCTGTATGTTCTCAGGCCTGGAGTGGTAGGGCAGGCGGTCCCAACACAATCTTTTATTCCACTAGATGGAAAGCACATCAATGGAAAAGGCAGGAGGGATTAAATATATCTGGAGTAGCAGCTTAAAGTGCTCACTAGCTCCACAAAGGGAACAGTCCAATTCTGCAAAAGGAATCCAAGCAGCCCTTTGCTGAGGTGCTCAAAACAAACTAGAGGTTAAACTTTAACTTGCTTTGAAGACAAAGTACAGTTTGTCAGAAGCTGCAGTATCAAAAGTGGCTTTTTATAAGGGGCAATGATTTGATAGAGAAAACATATGATGGATCTTGTTAATATTTTGGTATTTGCATACAGCAGTGAAACTATCACCAGAGGAGTTACATACACATCAACTTTCCTAGGGAAGAGTGTTTACACCAGGAAAGGTTCACATGCACAGATATTAAAATATGAAGTAACACTTTTTAAATGGGCTACAATGTTATATCAAGCTTAACAGCATAGATTTTTGACTTCTGAACATACCTGGATGGAGAAGACAACCAGATCTGCTTGTTTGGGGTCTGCTTGTTGATCACATAGGTTCCTAAATCTCCACCTAGTTTAACTGTTAAAACCCCACTCTAGTGGACCAGTGGGGGAGGGAGGCAGGAGGAAAATAAGACAAAGTTAGTACTTTTTCATAGTAGCTTCATATTTTGTTATAGTTCAACACTTCCAAGTACACATGATTCCTTTACATCTTAAAGGCATGTCTTTAAGTTAGTGATTTGAAATAAAAAATTACATAGACAGAACACTGCTCTCAGAATCAGACAATGCAGTCATACCTATTACAGTCCTACCTCATTCTCTTGAACTTTGCAGACATTGTGTTTATTACAAATCGAATGTTTGTGACATGCCTGCACCGAGCAAGTTGATTGGTGCCATTTTTCTAATATCTCAAATGATGGTTAGCGTTATTTAGCTGTATGTTTAGCATTTAAAAATTTACATATATATATATATATATATATATATATATATATATATATATATTTACATCATTCTTCCTTTTGTGCATTTTTTTACCCAAGTTGTAATCCCCAGGGGCTTCTCACCATCAATTCACCCGTGTGCCATCACCATAGTCCCGTGCACTCCTCCCACCCCAGTTCTGATCCTATTCTCCCTTCCACCCCCATAAAATGTCTCTGGTTTATAGTTGCTCATTGTTTTCATTTTTACTCTATTACATTTGTTTGTCTCTCTCCCCACCCACCCCATCCCTTACACTAGCAGTATTTTTAAATTAAAATATTTTCTTTTTTTAAGATACATGTCTCTTTTTGCTCACTGAATTGAGTATAGAACGATGTAAATGTAACTTATATGCACTAGGAAACAAGCTTTGTGTGACTCAATGTTTTGTGATATCTGTTCTATTACAGTGATCTGGAAACAAACCCAAAAGATCTTTGAGGTGCCTGTGATTTCCCCAGTTCCCTACAAAGTCAGCAAGGTGAGAATGATCACTACTGCTATCTTGAGATGAGGAAACAGAAACCCTGGGAGATGTTTGGGATCATCTGAAGTCTCACTGCTGGTAAATGAGGACACCGCATTGCTTCTCTCCACTGCCAGCCAAAACCATTAGTGGAGGGAGGAAAATGCAGGCCCCCACACTAACAGAGTACCAGTAAGCCTGAAACATATAGGTGACAAGTTCATTACAAACAAAAATAAAAAGGCAAGAAGGAAAGAAGTAAGCAGATCACCTGCATTGCAATAACTTCAGCTCTGTTGGTAGAAGACAGATTTTGCAGAATAGAAATTTTTATTTCCAAACCCTCCCCAGACATCTCTTAAGCTTCTCAGCCTTTCTGCTCTAGCTTATTTTCCTCTATAGACTCTGAATTCTTCAAAGACCCTTAAGACTTTTTTGCCTAGTAAATGCTCATTTAAATTTGAAAACCAGCTTTCAACAAAGGAACCCTTTACTCCTCAGGCCTTAGGTCTCTTCAGAATGCACAGGACAATAAAGAAACAGCTACACAGCTAAGTTAGCTTTATTGGGGCTGGTGAGTGGGAAAGAGCCCTCTTTACTATAAGGCCAGATACGCGGCTGCTTTTCTTTCCTCCAGAGCCCCGTCCAATTGAGGGGCCCTGAATCATTCTTACACACTTTTCACAAACACGGAAGCTCCTGAATTGGAGGGGAAAGTACCAATAGTGATATAACTGACAGCTATTGCAAGGGGAGTGCATTACTGAGTTAAAATCACACACACACACACCTTTTTTATTAAAAAATATAGAGACAGAGCTATTGGGAATTCGGAGAGCATGAATAAAATGAAAGCATCAACAGAAAATACGAACAGTGATTCAATACCTATTCAGGGGCACACTGTGTTGGCCCTTTGTGTAAATTGTCCCTCTGGAACCATATGGGAGGTAGGGGTCCTTATCCCAACTTTGCAGGGGAGGAAAACAGAAGGCGTGATAATGACAACTTAGTAACTGGCAGAGCTGATGTTAAACCCACGTCTCTTTGGGCCAGAGTCCACTCTTAATAACTGGCCAGGCTCACGTATTGGCTGCCAGTTTTTAAATGAATTTTTTAAAATGAGCCTGGGTCATGGTATATGCCAGTTGTCTTTTTCCCCTGAAAGTTTACTGTTTTGGTAAAACTACATTTCACTGATTTAAACATTTGACAATTTGTAGCCTTTAAATGCCCCAAGGTATGTTGTACCCTCGTGCAGGGAGTGGCGAGAAGTAGTGGAAAGGGCAGAGAGCCAGGTCTAAAAGTGAGGTTCCAGTCTTAATGACTGTACCCCATCTTCAGCATGACATCTGAGCTGCCTTCTCAGGAACTCAGTCAAGAGGCTGATGGTTGCTGTGGGCTCTATACCAGCTCCTGATCACCATCACACCTTAGAACAGGAGGCCAAATCTGGGGAGAGCAGGTACAACTGCTGAAAGCCAAAACCCACTCTTTCCAACTGTGAAACTTCTGAGGAGCTCAGAGGACACTCCTTCACTACGAGCGTATTAATGAGAACCATGAGAAGACTTCCAGAAGTCAGTCTCAAGCTGTTTCCTGCACCAGGCACCTGCCCCAACCACCCTGTCCCCATACAAGATCTGCAGCTACTCCCATGCCACCCCCTCCCCCACCCCACCACTCTCACACACATCCCTACAGCCTCTCTGCTTTCCTTGCAGCAGCTAAGCTGCTGGCTTATTTGTGGGCTGGGCTGCCCCCTTCTTTCCACTGCTTGAAATTCCTGGAAAACAGATTTGTCTTTTTATCTTAGCATGTCGGTTCTCCCTGCAAAATACTGAATGAATGCAAACCCATATTTGCAAATGAATTAAGGGAGTGGATGCTGATCAGGCACTGTGGTGACATGTGCCAAGATTAAGCTCAAGACAGACAAATCTTAACACTCATTGGCGGCCCATCCCCCCTTCACTGTAATGAGATTTTCCCCAGCTGGTATTTGAAGCCATTTCCAAAGGAAAGTGGCAAAAGGAGGAAGAAACTTCCTAACTGCCTGCTTCACTCTTTCCAACTTACTGGTTCACTAGTTTTTTATGCTGTTGGAGCCCTCTGTGAGTGGACCAGATGCAGAGGGTATTTTGCTCATCATTATTATTCTTCCTTAAGGTCAATCTGAGTCTATTTTGGGTGCGTGGGTAGACTTGTGAGAGAAAGAGGAGGAGGGAGATAGTCAAAATATTTAGCAGCTGCTGCGACATGGCATTAACCCCTCAGTACAGAACTGGCCACAGCTGGTAACCCTGCCAGTACAGAGCAGCCCTGTCACACTGGGAGCAGAAGCAGTGATCACTGCTGCTGCCAGCTCACCTGGAGAAACAGACACATAGGGGGTTGCACAGTCTGAGGATTTCACGTATGCGGTTTCTCACACTCCTAAAACTACACACTGGCTTTCCCTTAAGGAATAAAAATAATGCATCTGAAGCACTCTTTTGTTTTATTTAATCTTAAGATAAAATCGGGAAAAGTTGAGGCTTCATTGTTGAAGAACCTGCTGCTCCCAACAGGCAGATAATTCACTTCAGGAGTGTTGGAAAGAAAATACAAATCCAGGATGCTAAACCTGACTCTCTCCACATTCAACAAAATGATGTGGGGGAGGGGGTGTTACAACCCAGAATCCGGAGGGGAGCCTTCAGGGGTCTGAAAACAGCCCCTACCTTGATGGTGAAATTGTATTTGTCGGTGGGTGGGGAAATCTTTTCCCAGGTACAGAGAGGTGAGATTCTTACATAGGATCCTGATCTCAAAAGTAGGCTGTGCCTATGGCAGTTACTTGTCGACAAGCTAGTGAAGGAAGGACTAGGCAGAAAGCAAAAGTTTTAAGCTGACAGGATTCCACCTGGAGTAAAAGGAAGCTAGCTTCCAGGCAACTGTCCAAACAGCCTGGTGCTTCTCTGCAGTCAAACCCTGTGAAGTCAAGTGCGGTGGAACCCTGCTTGCCTAGCTATGGGAGGTGATTTTGGCACTGGGGGACACTCCTCTTTGCTGGCTGGTGCCAGCAGGGGTGAGGCCTCGACCCACACACTGGCATCCACCATCATCCACCCAACTGGATCAGAGGACACAGCCAAGAAGATGCTCTACTGTCCCACTGAACAGGGAGAAAACAGAATGAGCTCCTTCTTGGCTGCTGCCGTCATTTGCCTACTTGGCTAGTAGCAACCTGGTGAAACAGTTATAAATGCTAAGTGGCATCAATGAAGGTGTGTTTGCAAAAGAATGTGGGCTCCATTTCCTTAGCATAATCAATCAAACATCTGTTAAGTCCCTGCCACGTTCTTGGTGCTGTCCAGACACTTGGGTACCGAGAATGGACAGTATCCACTGCAGTGGCGCTCAGACTAGCCTGGGAAGCAGGTGTGTGATGGTGGAGAGTTAACACAGGTGACCAGTGCTCCACAGTCAGCCTAAGTGCAGGGAGAGGGAGCAGGGTGGTGTCTGCTTGGAGCATCGAGGAGGCTTTGTGAACAAGGCCCAATCCCACTGGATGCTGTGGGCAGGGAAAGACTACTCAGCAAAGTCCCAGGAATAGTGCTACAGGTGTTCTGTTGTTTATAATGCACTTTCAGTTGATTTATCTTGTAGTAGAATATATAAGGTAGCACTGGGAGGATTCTCAAGGAATTCATACTCCAGGGTAAACGGCATTTCAAGGCACTTAATCAGAAGTCCAAGTTATACAAATTGCAGCTCTGTGTCTTTGGCTTTCTACATCTGCGCTAGAAAACTTCTTAGCTAGCAAATGATATGTTAGAAATCACTTTCCCTGGCTGAGTGGAATGATATTCAAGGTATATAGATTGACTGGAAAAAAACAGGTGCCTCTTATCTTGCAGGAACATGTTAGAAAGTCTGGGAGCTCCAGCAGCTGAATACAGAGACTCTGAGGGTCCGATAAGGTAAGGAAGGGCCTGTGACCCCCAACTGTGCAGAGCTTTTTGTTGCCTGATTCAATGAGTAAGTACCTCATTGTCCAGGTGCTAGAATCCTGGTACCTTTGCTTCTAATGAGATATTCATGAGAGGTGCTCCGGTCAAGCTAAATTTCAGTAATCCCATAGAAACAGGTGGTGTGATGGCTTTCTGGTATGCTAATAAAAGTCTGCAAGTGTGCACTTTAGCCAAACTCGGTTTCCCCAAATCTTCTTTCCCCATGGGAAATTTGGGGCAGAGATCCATGACTTCCCAGGTCTTCTGGTCACACTGGTGAGGCTGGCCGCAGTAGTTCCTGAGCAGCTCTAAAGTCCTGCCCTGAAATCTATCTGGCAAACGTTCAATCCTTTTTTACACTATTGCCTCAGTTTTTACCACCAAGTCCTTCTCTGTTCTTACAAACAGCTCTGACACTTCTAAGACTGTGCTGCCTGCTCTATCTGAAGAATTCCTTCTTTCCAGCAATAGCCAACACCATTTCTGTCTCTTTAGCCAGACCTCAATAATTCCATGATTTAATCCAAAATGCACACTTGATTACATTTCCTGATATTAATTGCTGTGAAGAGTGTTAACCCTCTGTAGGGATTTTACGCCACTGGAAAAAGAAAAGTTGCTCCCCTGAGGTGTAGGCAATTCTAAATTCATAGGAGGTTCATTACTCAATTCTGCCACCCAGTGGCCAGTTGATGAAGAACAGCACTCCCTAGACTTTCTGGCTCTGGGGCTCAAATCTGATTTTGCCCAGAGATTCTCCCAGGAGGCACCTGGATGGAATCCCCTGGGAAGAGAAACCTCAAAGCCTGAGCCACACCCAGCCCAATTCAATCAAAATTTCTAGGGGGTGGAACTTAGGGTGGAACATTAGAATCCTGAGTGAGCTTTCCAAAAATATGCATCCGGACCCACTTCATCAGAACCTCCTAGGAGTGGGTGGACTCTGTCATCTGAACACCTCTGGGGCTAGATCTCCCCTGTGCTTGGAAACTAGCAGTACATGCGGTGTCTCCATGCCTGCGAGATGAAACAGCACAGGCCAGGGCCCCTCCCTCCCTGACTTACATTCATGGATTTTGAGGGAAGCTTGAAATCTGTATTTTTAAGCAAAAATTAGGCATTACCAGGCTGAGTGAGAGACTCAACAGGCCTGAAGGAGCTGGGACAAGAACCCTGGAATTTAGGTCCCACCCGTAACTGCTTGCTGCTGGTTGTTTAACTCTACCCGAGAGGAAATCTCTGAGCTAAAATTCTTAGGGAGAGAACAGAAAAATGAAAATAAGCAAAGAGGTACCCCAAAGGAGACATCGTAGTCTTCAAATGTGTAAGGCTTATCTGCAAGGTCTTCGAAAAACTCTGCTAAGGAGTCCAGTGTCTTCTCTGCCAGTCTTTCATAGGTGGTCTCATCTAGAGAACTGCAGGAGAAACACAAAAGGATCAAAAACATACATTGTGAAACTGTTCTGCTTTATTAACATTAACACTTTTTTTTAAAAGATTTATTTATTTATTCATACAGAACTGGGGTACAAGTCAGAGGTGCAGGTGCAGTGAGAGGCTTCACCAGAGACAGAGGGGGGAGCAGAACAGATAGATCGATGAAGTACACTGCTGAGGGGAGCAGGGGGTGGGTCAGGAGAGGTCTGCTGGGCCATGTGGGTCAGCTCTGGGGCGGGGAATCGAACTTGTAGTGAAGTGGCTACGGCCAGCCTGCAGTGCTGCATCCTATCCTATTGGGCCAACAGGGAGGACCAAAGTAACACATTTTTAAGTCTATGACAAATAACTCACAAGCACAGAGTAAAGCATGAGAAGTTTTAAAGAGAGCACCCTCTTCCCAAATAGGCTGACTCCATCCAGTGCAACTAGGAAGAAAATCTCCTCTGCATCTTTCCAAGATTTTATATTCTTTTAAATATACAAATGAAACACCTCGTAGTTTTTATTTAATGCCTTAAAAATTGTTTCCTATTAGCATATACAGGCTTTGTATTATTTTAAAAAAAGATTTATTTTTTTATTTATGCATCCAAGAACTGGGGAATAGGCAGAGGTGTGGGGATGTGACAAGATTCATCAGCAGAGTGGGGAGCAGACCAGGTGGATGGACTGAAATCTGTTGCTGCACCATGGGGGTTAGTTCCTGGCTGGGATTGAATTTGTGCTTTAGCAGCTGGCGATAGGTTGAGGATAGGTTGACAGCGCTGAGACTTTAACCCCTGTGCCAGCAGGGGGGCCCAGAACTGTGTAGAAATTTTAAAATATAGCCCAATCTCATATCTATAATTGTGATGAAAGAAGTCATGTGCAAACATTTATATTTAATGATACAGTTTATAAAAGTAAAAAACCAAGCTAAACCAACTGAGGCTATTGAAAGTCAGAATGGCAGTTACTCTGGGGTGCGGACAGAAGTTAACTAGTTTCTAGGTAACTAGAGTAGGCAGAGGCTTGCTTCCAGAGCTGGTAACATTCTATCAATATTTCCTGAGTTGCATGGTCTGCTCATCTTTCAAAAAGTTATCAAAAGATATATGACTTGGAGACATTCCTATATTTAGACACTATTTTTCAGTTTTTTTTTTGTTTTAAAGATTTATTTATTTATTTGTACAGAACTGGGTTATAGGCCAGAGATGCGGAGGATGAGAGAATTCACCAGAGACAGAGCGGGGAGCAGAACAGGCAGACAGAGGAAGTACACTGCTGAGGGGAGCAGCAGGCGGGTCAGGAGAGGTCTGCCACGCCATGTGGTCACTTCCGGGGCAGGCGGGAATCGAACTCATGCGGAAGTGGCTTTAGCTTCTTAGTGCTGTGCTTTAACCCGCTGCGCCACCAGGGAGGGCCCTATTTTTCAGTTTTTAAAGATCACTATATAACCAGTGACAAAAGACCAGTGGTTCTCAGTGATTTGGGGAAGGGAGGAATGGGGGTGGGGGTTGCTAACAAGTACAGGGTTTCAACTGGAGTGATAAGAATGTTCTGGATTAGTTACCGGGAAGTCGTACCATCTTGTGACCATACTAAAAGCCACTGAATGGTACATTTTAAGTTGTGAATTTTATGTATATGAATTATAACAAAGACATTTACTATACTAGATACTCTTGTATGAGCTTTGAAGCCCTGTGAACATCTCTCTGTATATTACAAGATGTATCCCAGACCACAGCATCATCTGAGTTTCTAAGAGTTCTACAGTAACCTATCAGCAGTGACTAAATAATTAATGCAAGATGTGAAGATGTGCCATGTCACCCCTCCCCACCTAGTCCATCACCCCCTCAAGGGCACAACTCGGGGATGGCTACAGGACCCACCAGGAGGTGGTGCAGGGCTGCCTGGGAGGGGTGCCAAGCATTTCCTTCTCCTCCTCATCCCAGCCAATGAAAGGTGAACTGGCGAGAACCTGGAGGAGAGGGACATGTGCCTGCAGGTGCCGGACACCCCTGACTCCAGTTTCAAGTACAAAAAGTGTGGTGGGTGCTTCCGACTGCAGTGGGCTGGGCCGTGGCAGAAGCTGGCTGTCCTCTACCACCAGCTATGGTCCCAGAGGCCAGAGGCAGTCCCTGAAGATGGAAGTGCACTAGAGCATTCAGCAAGGGTCCTGCCCAAAGAGGACCACTTGGAGAGACGAGAGGCACTTGGAGAGTCGGGGGTACCTGGAACTGGTGCCATCAGAGGACAGCCCTAGCTCCAAGAGGCCTTGGAGGGGCCCAGACACTGCAGCTGGGCGCTTGCAAGGCTGCTGTCCACCTGCTCCTACACTGATCCGGAGGCCCAGTAAGGGTGGTTACTGAGCCTGTGGCTCTGAGGACAGTCAGAATGTCACAAGAAGGAGTGGCTCTTGCTCTTGTAACAGGTGTGACATGGAAACAATGAGCCAGGAGAGATCTGGCACATTAGCAGTGGAGTGGAATGTAGCTCTGCGGATTAAAGGTTGCAGAGATGGGGGAAGGCGAAGGCAGAGGTGAAGACTTTGAAGAACAAATGTTCTCATTAAGCCGCAAAAGAGCCTCTATTCCTCTTGCAAAGCCCAGGTTGCTGGCCCCCAACCAACATGCGTGCCCTTAGGTTGAGAGGCCTGGGCACGGGGTGAGGTTGCGAAGAAAGAAGGCAGCCCGGAGGCTCCTCTGCAGAAATTTGGTTGTGGTCACTGGTAGCAGAACTGACTGGGAGTTAGGAGATCAGAAGCATAATAAATGTTTGAAAAAATTCTGCTATCAAAGGAAAATGAGCCTGCCGTGCCACAGCTGAAGCCAGCCTCTGGAACCAACGTGCCAACAGCAGGATGTGGCATGGGAAGGCCGTTCTCTCCGAAAAGGGCACATTCCCACTGCCTGCCACCCTGGGACACAGGTAATGAGCAGGGGGCTCCTCCAGGGCTCAGAACCTGGTTTTGTGGAGGGACAGTCCCCTCTCCCAGGACGGTGGTGGGCCCCGAGCTGCCCAGAGGGCCTGTATTGCTGCTGTGGGCCACGGACATGTCTCTTTTCTGAATGGGAGTGTGTAGTAGTTATGGTGCTTCTCTCCATCTGTCCATCCCTGGGTGTGTGTATGGAGGTCTGGGCAGGTAGCAGTGGCAGAAGGCAGACTGCAGCTGTGGCTGGCACCTACTGGAACCCACAGACCTTCCTCTAGGGCACCCATTATACTACATTCTCTAGCAGTGCTGCAGGGAGCTGGGTCCAGGGACCACATGTGACTCAATGAATGTGAGTGATGGTAAAATGCACCTCCAGGCCTTCTCTGTGCCTGTGCCTTCCTGCCAAGTTAAACCTGGACGGGGTGGCCTGGCCTTGAGTGGCCTGGCCTTGACTGTGCAGAGGACAGGGAGACATAGGGATAGCCACGCAAGAAGGCAGAGGGCACCCACCTCCTATACATTTCACAGGCCAAGCTCAGTCTAGACTGTCCACTATAGTTTGAGCCATTATACTTGTGGGTCTATTTGTTATAGAAGCTTGGCCTACTCTAACTACTAAGATACCAAATAGAATCACAGAACTCTGGAAACAACCTAATTATCTAATAATAAGAGGTAAATGAATTATGGTATATTCATAAAGTATTTCATTGAAAATAACTTGTAGGGGCCTCCTTGGTGGTGCAAGAGATTAAGTCTCAGCACTCTGCAGCCACTGCAGCACAAATTTGATCCCCAGCCAGGGAGCTGACCCACATGGCACAGCAGACTTCTCCGGTCTCATCTGCTACTCCCCTCAGCAGTGTATTTCAGTTGATCTGCCTGCTCTGTTCCTCACTGTCTCTGGTTAATCCTCTCAACCCCTTCACCCCTAGCTTGTACCCCAGTTCTTGTATGCATAAATAAATAACTCTTAAAAAAAGTGTGAACTAGGAGTGTGTATATGTGGTATAATACAAGGAGGGAAAGGAACAGGAGAGGAGTGGGGAAGTGATTTCAGATATGGAAGGTGTTTGATCTTACCCAGGGTCCCCCAAAGTTCCAGTTGTCCTCAAATTTATCAGACAGACACTCTGCTTTTTGACATTCAGAATTCGGTTGAGGCAATGGAGGCTTAAACCCTAAAAGCCAAAGTTAAGAATATTACCATTTTTCAGTAATTCTAGTCTATTAATACACTGAAACATCACCACTTCTATATTCAAGAGTAACTGTGTTAAAAGTTTTCCAAGAATATTTCTTCGGAACCTTACTTTGAGTTCTCCATGCAGCAAGTGAAATTTATTGAAGTGAAATAAAATTAAAAAGTCAGTCCCTCAGTCATACTGGACACAGGTAAGTGTCTTGTGGCTTCATGCAGCTACTGGCACAGAGACAGAACAAATCCATCACCATGGAAGCTACTAGAAGGACTGTTCTGCACTGCTCAGGGTATGTGGTGGTTAGCACAGGAATGAAGCAAAGTATCAAGTATGCTCCTAGAAAAAATAAAAAGGAGAGGCAGAAGCCTGCTGATGACCCTGAGAGAGGGAAAGGCTGCAGGCTATTGTCTTACTAACATATCTGCAGGAGGCAGCGTGAGCTGTTGGTCTCCTCCCTATTTAAGTGTTAAGTGTCCAGGAACCCAGATCTCAGGAGGTGGGGCCTGAGCTGACCCCTGCGACCAGATGGATAACAGATGAGCGCATTGAGAGCTAGAGAGGGGGCTCTGGCAGAGGGACCTGCCCCAGGTGGGAGGGGCGGGGGCCCCTTAAGAGAGAAAAAAGTGAGAGAGTAGAGCCAGCAAGGAAGGTGATAGAGAATGGAAAGGCTGGCTGCCTTTGAGGCATACTGTTGCATGGTATGTGGAGACACCCACATGGAGGTTACTCTGGTTGTCACTAAGAGAAGGTGTTAAGAGATTGTCACTTATTCTCTTGAGCCATAATTTCCCCTACAAGCTCAGAAAAAAGGCAGAGGGCACAGGGCTGAGAGGTGAACTGAGGAAATGGGGGTGCAGAAGGACTGGCTCTAAGGAAGGGGAGAACAACTCCCTGTGTCAAGGCTTCTAAGTCATGGAGTTCTCAGATGACGCTCCATGGGCCTCGCTGACTTGACAGCCCCACTCTGGAGCTGTCACTATGGGAGCCGCCAGATACATGTGGCCATCACACCCTCGAAATGGACGCACATGCTGGGTTTTAAGCTTCACTTAATTTTTAAAATTTAAAAATGCCACTATTGGAAAAATTAAGAATATTTGAAACATCCTGAGTGTATAACACCCTTTTTTATTTGTGAATTTCATAAAATTTAATATATTTTGGTGAAAATTTAACATCACAACTGACATTAGTTGGACGTACAAAATACTGAAGAATGAGCACAAAAAGGAATGTAAAATGTCTCTATCATTTTCAGTATTGATAATATGTTTTAAATGATATATTTTTATATACTTCCATTACATAAATATATTATTGAGATTGATTTCATTTCACTGTTTTCAACATAGCTGCTAGAAAATCTGGAATTATACATTGCTATTCTATGTTGGATAGCTGCTGTAGAAACAGAAGTAAGAGGTACAGAAAATAAGGAGAGAAAAGACCCCTAAATGAACTCAGGTCTTGAGGAATCTTGGAATGTAAGGGCCCTGAGGCATCGACAGGACAGTTAAGACCTTGAGAAAGAATGAAACAGGATAGCGATCCCAGTGGCCTGTGTCATTCCACCCAACTCCACAGTACCACAGATGGGGAAGGGAAGTGTGGGATAAATACGTTAAATGAACACGATCGACTGAATATAGAAATGGTCTAAGGGCACCGAGGTTGACCATCCAGCTAGTCCCAGTGTGTATTCAGTGCCCACTTCTGGGTGCCAGCCCTGAGCTAGACATGCTTGAGTCAACAGCCTTCAGCCATAGTAGCCACTAGATACCTTCCAAAAGCCCATGCCACATCTTGTCACTCTCCTAGACCAAAAACTGCCAAGTCCTGGCAGCTTTGGAGGAGAGCAGCTCAGAAGGAATAAAAATAATAAATGTCCTTTTTGGGCAGAGGAGGGTGCCAGACCAGCTTGGCCACACCTGCTTATGTTTCTAGAGAAGCTGGGAATTCATCATCTAGGTCCCAGGTTGGAGTGTTGGCAACCCATGCCAAAGTTTACCGGACATGGTCTGGGCCCAATGTCACGTGAGGGTGAGGGGTGGGGGGAATTTAAGCTAAAGCTAACTTCCAGAGTTCCACACACAGTTTGTGTCGATCTTCACCTGCTGTGTTCATCCTCCAGCATACACCCAGCTACCAGCTACACAAAAAGGCCGTTTCCTTCCTGGCCTTTGCCCTGGACCGCACCTAGCTCTCCTGACACCTTTAAAACCCAGTTAGACGGTCCATGCTCCTGTGAATCTTCCTCTATCCCAGTCACTGTTAGGGCTTCCTCCTTTCAGGTAGTGGAGTAATGGGGACAAATATTACTTTGCATCCAAGGGAAGAAAGTGGAAAGATAAAGGTGTTGTGGACGTTGAGGGCAGCAGCCTCACAGAAAGGGTGTTACCCTTTATCTTCCCTTCACAGAAAAGGAAGAAGCCGCGCCTCTGCCTGGAACCCGTGCCAGGCCACTTTCCAAAAGAGCTGCTCTCCAGCTAAGGGCTCGGAGGCCTTGACATTGCTCCTGCACGAGGAAACGTGTTTATAGCAGCTCAGGCTTGCACAGATATTACTTGTACATTAGCTCTAGGGTTTTATTACATTTATATATTCCATAGACGATCGCTGATCCCAAAACCCAGATTCCGTCCACCCTCCCGGCCTTTGCCCTCGGGGCTCCTCGCAGTTGCGCGGCAGGGTACCGTTTCTCTTTCTTTGCAGAAAGCATAAGCGGGGCCGCAGCGCCGCGCGCAGTCTCCGTGCCGCGGTGCGCTCAGCCTCCGAGTGGCCGCAGCGGAGCGCGTCCCTGGGCGCGTGCCCGGAACGC